CGTCGGGGTCCCCTTCTCATCCCCATCCTCATCCTTCTTGGTGATGGGTACAAAGATTCTTATAGGGATTTTTGGTTGGAGGTTAAAAATAGTTTTAGTCTCCGTATTCACGGGTATGTGAAGTTTCATTAAGTATTAAATATATAAAATTTAATTTTTTTTATAAATAAAAAAATAAAAATTTAAAATGATTCAAACAAATAAATACATTAACATATAGTGCAGCAAATCAATATCCAATAACCAGTTACAATAAATACATACAGTCATATATGTCCAACATATTCAACAACAAGTTTATATATAAAAATACATGAATTACCTTCAGATTGAGTTAAGTTATTGAATTGGTTTTAGGAATACTAAAATTGGAAAAGGAACTAGGCTGGGCAACTTGTATTAAGTTGTATTAGTTAATTGGGTTGTATGAATAAAAATTAATCAGTAATATATTTACAAAAAATATATATATGAATAAGTTTATATTTTTTTATTATATATAGATTTTTATAGATCTCCATAGAGAAGATGAAATTTCTCGTAAAATTTTATTAAAAAAATAATGTCTCCATTCTTACCTCACAAGGAGAAATAATTTTAGAATCTCCATTCTTACGGTGGGGATTTCCATAGAGGATTTCCATAGAGCTCCATGGGTCTAGAAAGAAAGTTACCATGCCTAGCTGGAATGGACTTGGAGAAGAACTTGTTAAAATGTAGCACTGTTATCAAGTTGTTTTGGAACCTCTGGTCCCTGGTCCCCAGTTTTGAGCATTTTTTTGGGCCCATTATTAAGTTTGATTTTTACAATTTTTGAAAATGCTGACTTGGAAATTCCATGTCAAAGATTTTTGCTGATTGGGACATATGTGGGTCCCACGAATAACTTTACTCTTCTATTGATTCAAAGAAAGAAAGCAGAACTCTTTCCGCGCCGTCGCCGGGGAAGAAAGAGGATCGCGTCGCCCAATTGGAAAAATTCAAGAATGATTCGGATCAGCAACTTCATCGTAGAGTTGATGAATCCGATCGCTGTTAATCTGCGTCGTCGCCATGACCTTTGTATACCATGGTGGTCAGAAATTGCAGACCGAGAGTTCTTCTTCCTGGTCTCGTTGCGGCTGAGCGGCGCATTGCGCAGTAACAATTTTTTGATTCTCATCCACATGACCCTGATGTTCTTCCTCATCCTGGGACTCGTCGTCTTCACCGCCTCGTTATTATGGTGCTTCGGTGACTGAGGATGCCACTGGAAAGGAGGTAAGTTATTAATATTTTTTTGTTTTTATATTTTAATTAAATCTTTTTTGCTTCATGTGAAATTTAGTTTGATTTCTTTGATGAAATAACAAATGAGTGATATTGAAGTGCATAAAGTTTGATAGTATAGGGACTAAAGTGCTTAAAGTTTGAGAGTATAGGGGTTAGCAGTGCCACTATTCCTTTTGTTAATGATGGCTGTGATTTTGTTCAATTATTCATCTAGTCTAGGCATTTTAGATTATTATGGTTAGAGAACTTCATCAGGTTGAGATAGCATTTAGTCTTCCATGTTTTGATGGTTTAGAAGCTTAAAATATTGCCTTTTACATGTAAACTCTGTCCAGCGGCCATTGTTCTTTGATGGCATTTGGAATTGCAAATTCAAGAACAGCAACCGTTCCATTTACTTTTAATCTAAAACAGTCATTGTTTTTTCCCTCTTGTAGAAGAAAATGAAAATACACTTATAGTCTTTATATTGAAAAGTACATTATAAAAACCAGTACTTTAGTGAGGAAAGCTGTTATTTAAAAGCTGATAAATATTTTCACTGATTTTTAGTGTCATGAACACAATAAGGTCTAGAATTGTAATGGTGGAAATGCTATAGAATTTTAGATAATTAAGTGGTTAATGTAATTCTTGGAAAAACCAAGAAATGGATTGTTGTAGGTTTGTATTCAGATGAATTGAACTGCTGTCTTACTTTTTGAGTAAGATGTATACAAAGGGTTGTTTGTTCCGTCATTGATGTCTTTTACTCTTTTTAACTTAGTGTAATTTTTCTTTATTTACTAAAAAATGGTCAAGAGAAAGAAAGTTTTATTTATGTAATTTTCCTTTATCATTGATGTGTTTTTACATTATAATTCTTTATGAATATCTGATAAAGAGGGATAGTGTCCACCTAAAAAGGTATAAGAAGAAGGAGATAAAATAGGATGGTGTGCCTGAGAATGAACCAGGGAACTGTGGTTGTTTCAATAATTGTAACTGATAAAGTAAGAAATTAGACACTGAAATTTCAGTTGAATGTGTAAAAGAAAAAGAAAGTTTTATACATGTATCCTTGATGTGTTCAAATATTCAAATCTAATATGAAAACAGAAAAAAACAATAAAAAAGTTTATTGAAAAAGATATATTATCAATGGGAAAAATGCATACCAATCCTAACTTTCAAAAAAAATATTGGAGTTCTAACCTTAAATTATGTCGTTTTATTTAATTAAAACTCAATTTAAAATTAAAAATCTATCTTATTAAATATTGATATTTAGATTTGGAAACTAATTGGATTTTGGAATTTCAATTTCTGGGACTGATATGCACTAACCTCATTATAGATACTCCCTCCATTCATTTTTAGATTAGTAGGCCTAATTTGACTTTTTAACTTTCCAAACATGAATTTCATATGAAAATTTAACATATTATATAAATGATAATTGAAAAACTTTTTGATCAAATTAAAGTGCTCAACAAGAACTTCATATAGAAAGAAAAAACATTTTAGTTGTTGTTCATATAAATTGTTAAATTTTCATTTAAAATTCATGTCTAAGAAGTCAAAAAGTCAAATTAGATCTACAAAAAATGAGCAGAGGGAGTATTATACAAGAGAGAATTTTTCTGATGATGATCAAAAACTTATCTGGAAAACCAAATCATGGAAAAATCAAATTTAGTTAGTAATCTCTTTCTATGATAAGGGAAATTTTATTTTGCAGGCTAATGCTGTATTTGGAATGTAATCTCTCAAATTACCCAACTTTGGTAAACAAATCCATTGCTTGGATTTTGTTGCCATAAAAGTTTCCCCCTGAATGGAAAATAATCTCCAATTCCAGGCAAATTCAATGCTATGCCTTATTCTGTTTTCATTTTTGGAAACACTACTTAATATAGCAAAAATCCACAGCTGGCTACAGGGAATATTGCATCAAAGGTAACCTAGTTAGCTCTAGCTTAAACATATTAGGGGTTATACAATGCACTTACAGATTATGGTATGATACTACGATTTTTCCTGGAAAATCTCCAACAATTGTCTTAAATTGCAGGTACCTGTAACCATTTTTGGTTATGACCAAAGGACATGACTATCTAAATTTTTTCTTGAAAATTAGAAAAGTAAATAAGCTATATGTTTATTTATTTATTTTTACTGAGATGTCTTATTTGATCGACTCATTGTTACTAAATCAATTCTTTCTAACCAGCGAACCATTTGATAAACTCTTCTTAAGAATGAAATATTTAAGGGACTTTTAACAGGAAATGACTTGACAAACTCTTTCTAGAAGAATTTACTTAACGAACTTTTCTTAACGGAAAACTACTAATGAACTCTTTCTAAAAATTAACCATGTGCTGAACCTTTCATAACGGAAAACGACTTAACGAATACTTCTTAATGAAAAACTACCTACCCCAACAGCATATAGAACAAAGAACTAGCTTTATCTTTCCATGTTCCTTCTTGCATTTTTGACATGTTTGTTGCAAACATACAATATGATCTCTAATTAAAGCTGGATTCTACTTGAATCAAACTCTAACTCACTGAAATTAATCACAATGAAATGAACTGGAGCCACTATTTCCCCTCTCATTTCCCCTTAACAAACAAAAGGAGATAGACAAATAAGGAAAATAGCCAAGTGCACCCTGTACAACTCATCTCTCATGCATCCAGTATTAACCTTTTCCCCCCAAGACCATCCTCTCTCCCTATAAATTCACCCTATGGTTCCTCTCTACCTCACACTCTTACCTCTTGCAAACAACACTGCCTTTGGCTTCTCTCACAAGGTTCAGAATAATCTTTCACGGAAGCCTTCAAGAATGTCTCTTGTTCCATCATCTTCTTCTTCCAAGAGACAGAAGGTTGACAACATTTCAAAGAGGCCAATTGGTGATGATGGAGTGAGTCCTTTCTCAAATCCATATGCAAATTTTATTTCAACTGATCCAAACAGTAACACAATCTATATCTAGCCCTCATGCCTAATTGTTTTCCATCTTCGTGTTTCTTCTCTTGCTTCAGAATTTCTTTGTATGTGTAATCTGTAATAATGAGGGGCTTCTGCTCTGTTGTGATAAATGCCCGGCAGCCTATCACCTATATTGTCTTTCTCCACCTCTTGAGGTATACACTTGAAGCATTTATGTTGTTGTATTTGTTTCTCATTATTAGACAACCTGATACCACTGACTTTTGTTTATACTTTGCAGAAAGCCCCTGATGGAGATTGGTATTGTCCCAACTGCAGCCATAAGGAATCAGAAGATTCACCAAATGAACCTGCAGTCCCAAATACAACCTCACCTGCCATAGAGGTTATATAATTTGATCTTTAAAGATTATTACCCAATAACCTAACATGAACTGTAGATAGGCTTACGTAATTTCAAAGCTTTAACTGGTATTCATGGACTGAATCTACCTTGATGTCTTTAGAGTTTTGTTTTTACCTTAACCTGTTAATGAGGTAGGATATCTGAGGAAAAATTCCGGGGTCTCTGATAACAAAGTTTCCCCCCTTGAAGTAAATAACTCATAAACTGCTATTTCCTCAAAGAAATTACTAGTTATCTGTTCTTTGGTCTTGATGAAGAAACAAAGCTATCTATTTTCAGAATGGTGAACCTGGCAAAAGACGAATTATGGTTTACGAGAGACGCCGGAGGAAGAGGGCTTTGGAAGTAGGGGAACATACTCAAGGGCCTCAAAGATGTGGACATGATAAACTTCTTACATTGAGGTAACTGTTTCCTTGGGTTACTATTGATATTGATCCTTGAGAAATATGTGTACTTTTAATTCTTGGTTGTGTTAATGAGTGTTCAATATTATAATAAAGCATAGAGGCTGCTGAGATAGAAATCCAATAGTTTAGACATCCAAGGTTTAAGGAAGTGATTATTGTTAAAGCATTGGCTCTTGCTTGACATCAAATGTACTTGGACATAAACGAATAACAATGAAAAAATTGGCGGAAATTGCTTTTGTTTCTCAGGAATAAGAGTTGTTGGATTGTCTGCTGAAAAAAGGAGATAGGGAGTTGGGTCTAAATGAAAATCTGATTATTTATATGTTTCCTGGACAGATTATGTATCAAAGATTTGAAACTCTAAATAATATCTTCCATTTCTGGATGCTTATAAATGCCACCTCGATTAGTCCTACGTGAAGGCATTTTATCCAAAAAAAAAAAGGGGAAGTTATGAATCTACGGACTTTGTGGATTTACCTTTCCCAACGTTTTTGACCTGTGAAACACATGTAACTCGATTTTCTTTTCATCTTAATCTGATACTTCCATAGAATATAAAATTGTGCTTGTTGATTCATGCTTTGACAAAAGTTTTACATCTTTGGGGGAAAATTATTAGGGATGTTTCAGAACAATCGCTTGAAGCTGACCGGGCACCCAGGCAGGCAAGTATTTTTTGATGCTTCTAGTTTTTTGAATGCTGTAAAGCAATTATTATTCAATACTGATGGCTATATTTCTCTCTATATGAAAGCAGAATGGTGGTGACAAAGAGGTAAATCCAGTGCCCAAAACAGGAAATCCTCGGAAAGAAACGATGTAAGCTTCACTTCAATCGCATAAACGTAGCAGAGTTACAAGTCTAACATGGTTTAATCCACATTGATGTTATTAAATATGAATATTTTCCTTGAATAGTGATCAGCTCCGCGCAGGACAGAAGAACAAGATTTTATCAGATAAACAGTCCAGATCTTTGGAACTTAATCACCATGTTGCTAGTTCCTGCAGGCAACCTTGGCTGCACGTTCAGTCCCATCTGGCATCTGATGCCGTTCACAGGACTAACAACGTGATGCAAAGCCAGGGAATTTCAGTTCCAGGAATAAAACAACAGAACACGGTAGTTCCCCATCTCCATCTATCCTGTAGAAACCTTGAGAAGTTCTTGAATGGGGAACTGTCTTAAGCTCAAGATAGTTTTATAGTTATATCTCCACTTACAAGAACTAACTTTTTAATTTCCTTCGCAGAATTATTCCAATGTAACCATAGCTATACCAGGCCCTGTCTTCCAAAGAACTAACAATGAAGCCTGGATAAGAGAGGAGCTAGATGATCTCTGGAGAGGAGTCCACATGTATGGGCCACAAAACTGGGCAATTATGCTTAGAGACCCAAGACTGAGGTTCTCAAAGCACAGAACCCCCGAAGATTTGGCAGCAAGGTGGTGGACGGAGAGGCTCAGCCGCTTGTACTCTCGACAAACTGCTGCACAAGGACTGAATGCCTTAGTCTCTTCTGGGATCTCTGCCACAAAAACAGCTGGTCCGTCACAGGCTTCTTCAAGCGCGGAATGCCGTCAGGATAGAATCAGTACGGGCTCCATTCCAGTAGCTTGGCCAGCACCTTGGGCAAGGAGTTCATCGAGACAAGCTAATTTAACATATATGGACAGGTTCTCTGTGCCTTTGCAAGATGCAACTGCAACACTCAAGCCAAATCAATATCGAACAGGTTTTGCTCTGCGGAAACCCAATGACAGTATATCAGCTCCGCAGGCCTTAGTTCATCAAGAAAGGCGACCAGAACAAACTCTCCTTCTGGGCAGCTTGTTTAAGCTTCCAAAGATTACAGAATCTTGGGAAACAAAACCAGATTCTCCCCAGATGGGTAAGGACTGAATGTTCCCGAGCTCTTTCCACATTGTCCCTGGATGAAAGACTGGTCGTCCAGTGGCTTCTGGAGTGTATAGTTGCAACAAAGTCTAGCAAAATAGCCTGTACCATTTGTACAAATGAATTGTATATAATTTTTTAAAATTCATTTGTAAGTATAGTGTTTCATTAACCCCACTCTTTTTTGCCCAGTCAAAGTCCCAGGAAGGACTTTCCTTCCTGTCTCCAGCTCATCTCCCATCTGAGTAGTACACAGAGATCTTCATCCTGAATCTAAACAATATCTTTGTTTTCAACGCCCTTGATTTTTCCAAATCTCCATGCCCAATGACGAGCTTATGGACTTTCTAGCCCTGTTTGGCCACCCTGCCCTATCACCTCCCCAGGCTATTGGTAGCTCCCCTGTGAAAAAAAAAAAAAAAAAAAAAAAAGGAGGTGAATTTTTAATGCTTCAAATACACCAAATGCTATTTACTAAAATAAATATCATGGAGAAGAGTAGAATAGGTCACCTGTAATGATTTTGGTAAGTCACTAATCCGATAATATGAAGATTTTTCGATGACCTTTTTCTTCTTCCTTTCTTCTTCATCTTGTTCCGTGGCAGCTTCTTTCTTCGTCACCATCATGCCAATGATGGGTTGAATGTTTTGAAAATAATTTACTTTGGTGCATATGAAGAGTGAGTCTTTAATATTTATTTCTTTTCAAAAACCTATTATTATGGGAAAAAAAAAAACAAAAGGGGAAGGAAATATAGCTTTTGACAAACTTGGCATCTGCTTGGAATATTTTGGAAGAAAAAGATACGTTAAATTGCCAAATTTGCCTCAATATTTTTGGAAATGAATCCAATCCGTATCTGAATGTATTTGGTAGCAAATGAAATGATAAGTATAAACCCAAAAAAAAAAATAATAATAATAATCCTTTAAAGATGTTTGTTGAATTTGGGTTGCAAAAGAACTAGGCCCTGAAGAAATAACCCAACTGGATTACATAAACCAAGAACTAATTTATTTGGGTTGC